CTGCCGTTCCAGAGTTCGCATGAACAAAATGTTGCAGATATATTGGTAGTTTTTTTGAGAAGTGTGGGTATGTGGGTATATAGTATGGGTATTTTTTATAAGTGTGGGTATGTGGGTATATAGTATAGGTATTTTTTTGATAAGTGTGGGTATGTAGGTATTTTTTATAAGTGTGGGTATGTGGGTATTTTTGATAAATGTGGGTATTTAGATAAGTGTGGGTATGTGGGTATTTTTGATAAGTGTGGGTATGTGGGTTGACAAGTGTGGGTATTTTTATTAGTGTGGGAATGTGGGTTGACAAGTGTGGGTATTTTTATTTGTGTGCGAATGTGGGTTGACAAGTGTGGGTATTTTTATTTGTGTGGGAATGTGGTGTGGGTATCTTTTATCAGTGTGGGTATGTGGGTATTTTTTTTATAAGTGTTGGTATATGGGTATTTTTGATAAGTGTGGATATTTTTATTAGTGTGGGTATGTGGGTATATGGTGTGGGTATGTAGGTTTTTTTTTGATAAGTGTGGGTATGTAGGTATTTTTTGGATAAGTGTGGGTATGTGGGTATTTTTGATAAGTATGGGTATTTTGGTAGTTATGGGTATTTTGATAAGTGTGAGTATGTAGGTATTTTGATAAGTGTGGGTATATCGTGTGGGTATATGGGTATACTGATAGTGTTGGTATATTGATAGTGTGGGTGTGTGGGTTTAGTGATAGTGTGGGTATATCTGGTATCTGATAGTGTGGGTATATATGATATATCTGATAGTGTGGGTATATATGGGTTTAGTGATAGTGTGAGTATAGTGATAGTGTGGGTATGTGGATATAGTGATAATATGGGTATATGAGTATACTGATAGTGTGGACATATGGGCATGCAGACTAGTTGGGCATATAGGTATACCTGTATATATGTACATAATGTGTGTATATCTTTATCATTTCGATGTGAGAAAATTTGCATGTAGACATTCATTATAAACCGAGTTTCATCTATGTAAGTAATCTTAACCTGAATATATATATGTATGGATATATATATGGATATATATATATATATATATATATATATATATATATATATGGATATATATATTTACATACACATATGTGTATATATTTATATTTTTCTTATGCATTATGTATATAATATATATAGACATATGTGTGTGTGTGTGTGTGTGTGTGTGTGTGTGTGTGTGTGTGTGTGTGTGTGTGTGTGTGTGTGTGTGTGTGTGTGTGTGTGTGTCTGTATATATCACATACATATATATGCATCCATACATACGTACATAAATATATATATGTATGCATGAATGTATATATATATACATTTACAACCACACGAATGTATATATTATATATATATATAAATATATACATATATACATATATATAATATATATCTTATTTTTTTCATATTACATGATTGATAATTTCTCATAATCACAAGACATTTTTTAAAAATATCATTCACATTAGTAAATTTTCCTTTCATTATCATTAACAATCTATTTAAATAATTAATAATATTATCATTAATGATAATGAATAATAGTCATGGGTAATGATAAGTGAATCATAATGATCTTAAATCTAATATTCTTAACAATTAAAAAAATATATATATTGCAGCATTCCACATTCACTAACAAACAAAAAAATATATATATATAAATAAAATAAAAAGTTGCATCTCATTATCCTTATATATAAAAAAAAAGTGCATTTTTTTCTCACTTTTCTTTTTCTTTTTTTTTTGGCTGCAGAGAGAGAAAAATCAATCAAATGAAAAAAAAGGCCAAACTCGCCAAAAAACGACTTTTATTTGGCTTTCGTCTTATTACATTTCGAGACTAAACATTCCATCTACGAAAAGCATATATAATTCCTATATATTGCAATATATAGTTCTGGTGAAAACAGGCATTGAAATTTGCAAGACGTGCAATAATACATCCATATGTGTGTATATGTATGTGTGTGTGTATGTGTATGTATGTGTTTATACGTACATAAATACATACGTACATGAAATTTGCAAGACGTGCAATAATACATCCATATGTGTGTATGTGTGTGTGTATGTGTATGTATGTGTTTATACGTACATAAATACATACGTACATGAAATTTGCAAGACGTGCAATAATACATCCATATGTGTGTATGTGTATGTGTGTGTGTATGTGTATGTATGTGTTTATACGTACATAAATACATACGTACATGAAATTTGCAAGACGTGCAATAATACATCCATATGTGTGTATATGTATGTGTGTGTGTATGTGTATGTACGTGTTTATACGTACATAAATACATACGTACATGAAATTTGCAAGACGTGCAATAATACATCCATATGTGTGTATGTCTGTGTGTATGTGTATGTATGTGTTTATACGTACATAAATACATACGTACATGAAATTTGCAAGACGTGCAATAATACATCCATATGTGTGTATGTGTATGTGTGTGTGTATGTGTATGTATGTGTTTATACGTACATAAATACATACGTACATGAAATTTGCAAGACGTGCAATAATACATCCATATGTGTATATGTGTGTGTGTGTGTATATATGTTTATACGTACATAAATACATACACATGTATATACGTGTACACAATACTGAAAACTACAAAAAAAAAAAAAAAAAATGGTACGGAAAAAACATGACGAGAAAAAATCCCTTTCACAATATGAAAAAAACATACGTAAACATGCAAAAAAAGAAAGGGGGGGGGGTTAAAGGTTTACAAAGGGACGAGTGATAATTCGAAGAATGGGATGTAGGATGGAAGTGATAAAAGTGGGAATAGACAAGAGAGAAAGACTAAGAGAGAAAAGAAGAGAGAAAGACTATAAGAGAGAAAGAAAGAGAGAAAGAGAAAGACTAAGAGAGAAAAGAAGAGAGAAAGACTATAAGAGAGAAAGGAAAGAGAGAAAGAGAAAGACTATAAGAGAGAAAGAAAGAGAGAAAGAGAAAGACTATAAGAGAGAAAGAAGGAGAGAAAGAGAAAGACTAAGAGAGAAAAGAAGAGAGAAAGACTATAAGAGAGAAAGAAAGAGAGAAAGAGAAAGACTATAAGAGAGAAAGAAAGAGAGAAAGAGAAAGACTAAGAGAGAAAAGAAGAGAGAAAGACTATAAGAGAGAAAGAAAGAGAGAAAGAGAAAGACTATAAGAGAGAAAGACTATAAGAGAGAAAGAAAGAGAGAAAGAGAAAGACTATAAGAGAGAAAGACTATAAGAGAGAAAGAAAGAGAGAAAGAGAAAGACTATAAGAGAGAAAGACTATAAGAGAGAAAGAAAGAGAGAAAGAGAAAGACTATAAGAGAGAAAGAAAGAGAGAAAGAGAAAGACTATAAGAGAGAAAGAAAGAGAGAAAGAGAAAGACTATAAGAGAGAAAGAAGGAGAGAAAGAGAAAGACTAAGAGAGAAAAGAAGAGAGAAAGACTATAAGAGAGAAAGAAAGAGAGAAAGAGAAAGACTATAAGAGAGAAAGAAAGAGAGAAAGAGAAAGACTATAAGAGAGAAAGAAAGAGAGAAAGAGAAAGACTATAAGAGAGAAAGAAGGAGAGAAAGAGAAAGACTAAGAGAGAAAAGAAGAGAGAAAGACTATAAGAGAGAAAGAAAGAGAGAAAGAGAAAGACTATAAGAGAGAAAGACTATAAGAGAGAAAGAAAGAGAGAAAGAGAAAGACTATAAGAGAGAAAGACTATAAGAGAGAAAGAAAGAGAGAAAGAGAAAGACTATAAGAGAGAAAGACTATAAGAGAGAAAGAAAGAGAGAAAGAGAAAGACTATAAGAGAGAAAGAAAGAGAGAAAGAGAAAGACTATAAGAGAGAAAGAAAGAGAGAAAGAGAAAGACTATAAGAGAGAAAGAAAGAGAGAAAGAGAAAGACTATAAGAGAGAAAGACTATAAGAGAGAAAGAAAGAGAGAAAGAGAAAGACTATAAGAGAGAAAGAAAGAGAGAAAGAGAAAGACTATAAGAGAGAAAGAAAGAGAGAAAGAGAAAGACTTTAAGAGAGAAAGAAAGAGAGAAAGAGAAAGACTTTAAGAGAGAAAGACTATACATATATATATATATTTTTTTGAAAATGGTATTTTTGTGGTATTTGCAAAGAGAGAGAGAGAGAGGGAGAAAGAGAGAAAGCGAGAGAGAAAGAGAGAGAGAGAGAGAGAGAGAGACAGACAGCAGAAAACAATACAAAAGAGAGAGAAATGAAAAGGAAAAAAAGAAAACATGGGGAAAATGGGATTTAATTTGTTTTGTTTTTGCATTATTTCCAAAACCTTTATAATATCACAATTGTAACAATTCTGACCAAACAAAACCCAAAAACCCTACATCACTTATATACATACAGACATACATGAATACACATGTGTGTATAAATGTATATATATATAAAATACGTATATATATAAAACTATGTACATGTACACATATATGTATATATAAAATACATATATATAAATTAATTACATATATATAAGCTATGTATATATATAAAATACATATATATATATACATATATATATAAATTACATATATATATATATATCAATGTATATATAAAAACTCCTCCACAATTTTTCTCGAAATAATGCAAAATGGAGTGTCTTTAAACCAAACATTCTCGTGATGGGATGTTTTCCACTCGTGCAAGTACCAATCTACGAGGATTCTTAAAGACGAAAATACAGTACGAAGGAAAATTACGAAAAGACTACGAAAAGACGAAAATAAAATAAACGGAGGGAAAAGGCCTCGAATTCCATTAATAAAATATGTCCAGAGTAAGAATAAAAGTAAATATAATTATGTAAAAAAAAAAGATAAATAACAATATGTTAAAAAAATATATAATAAAAAAATAAGAATAAAAATAAATAAAATAAAAAATGAATGAAAAATAAAAATAAAACCAAAAAAACAAAAACAAAACGAATACAAAAAAAAAAAATTATATAAACAAAA